TCTTATAATTGGACCAATAATAAGTCTAACCGTACGTTGGACTCTTTTTGATGGATCTTAGAAAATGAAAACATGTGTTACATGTCATTTTTTTCCATGCAAGAGAGAAAAATGACCATTTTCTTGCATGCCTCAATAATTGATTTTAATAATTAAACCCCGCATGTTATTTTAACTCGCGACTAAATAATACGCGTTGAGGTAACTTCTGACATTGAGGAACAAGTCGAGCAATATAAAGAAATGGTTCCATAAACACTAGTTATGGAGTTGATTTCCTTTATTACCAGTTAAAAATACGCCGAGTTTACACTATGTCTTCTGCATAATGAAACATGCATATTGACGTACAAGCATTAGCATTAAATACGACATGGATGTTGCCAAAAGCTACCGAATATAAACATTGATTTTAGACATACATTAGATTTTTCAACACATCTCTAGCTGATAATTTCCATATATACATTAAATTTTGTTGTCTGTCTTATAAAAGTGCTTGATGTTGAAGCTGTGAATGAGCCCTCGATCTCTCGAATTCTTCATGCCACGAAGTCTGATAAGAGCTGAGCTGAAAATGGCTTCCTATTCTGGAAATCAACAATCTGATCGTGATAGCCAATGTTTGAATGGGATTCTTGAAGATTGTTAACCGCATTGTAGTTATTTTCCACTGTTCCTGCAGTTTCAATTCTTGTTCCCAATTTAATGTTTTCTGAAGGTGGCAGTCCAAGAGTGAGAAAAACATTGTTTCCATGGAATCTTGTACCCAGTTGCTCAGATCCGTTAAACCTTCCGAGTTCTTCCATTGCATACGTATCCAATCTGTTACTATGGCTTGTATTAGCGGCCATTAATGTTAAATAGTTGTCTCCTGACAACCCTTTGCTTGTCTGATCTGCAGCTTTTGTTTTCATTTGCATTACAACTGCATTGCTTTGAGAATTGCCATTTCTTGGTTTTTTTGAATTCTTTTCGGGTATTCCCTCCATTTTCCCATTGTTATTCTCTTCTAGAGCAGTGGATTTTGAGACCAATTCTCTCACAGCAGCTCCACTTTTGCTTGTGTTTTCTTCGGAAATGTTTGATTCTGAATTCTTCATTTCTTCCAAGTACATCTCCTCAACCATAGGTTTCCATAGCCGAACACGAGCATTAATGAACCAGTTAGACACCTGCAATAGTATATAGATCATCTTATATTGATAAAAATCTCAAATCAATTTCAACAAAATAACTTAAACCGCACATTTTATTAGACCTACAACTTTTTAACCACGCAGTTCATGAACTTTTATCAAATTTGATTTTAATCTACATCAAACAAGGTCATAATTATCTCTTGAGTTGCATGCCAGAGAAAGTAAGCCATTTTCCAGGAAATTTCTATCATGGGACAAGTTTAGTTTGATATGCACCTTGTGAGCTAGTTTTGTGGGTAAAATGTCTCTCACCCACGAGCCATCTTGGTTCACACAGACCATATCCATGATAAGATAAAAAACCCTTTGCATGTATGTTGAAAACTAAATTTAAAATGTATAAATCACGTGTCACTTGTTTAAGAAAATAAGGATGACGTGTTATGGTAACATAACATATTAAGGTTTGGGTTGAGTGAAGCCACCACCACCCATTTATGAAATTAGGTACATGTCAAGTCCTTTGATGAAAAATGAATTTCACCTGCACGCGACGCGTGGAAGAAAAATTGTAAATAGATAAATGCATACCTTGAATGTCTTAAAACTTTTATTGACATGACTTGGTTTAAAAGTGTACAACTGTGTATGAAAATTTCTAAGCAAATTAAATTATGGAATGGTAAAGGAACACTTCCAAAAAAAATCCACTTTCTTGCTCTAAAACCCATCGATGATACGATTGAAGTTGATATTCAACCAATAATTTAACTTCCGTCGCTAATTATTGATAGAACTCAACTACATAAAATATGTATCAACATAATTACCTGACTCCTAGTAAGCCCTGTTTGCTTTGCCAGCATGTGTTTATCTGAATCCTTAGGATAACTGCAATATGAAGTGATATTTTCATGATTCTTT